TCCCTACAAAATATAATAAAATTGATTATAAAGTTAAATATAAGGTAGAAAAAATATAAATGAATTAATATCAATAATTGTTTCAAACTGCATACATAACAGGTATTAGTTCGTTTTTATTTTTAATCACATGAAAATTATTTCTTGCAGCTTGAATACTTATAAATATATTATAAAATTAACCTGGCATAATATCGATGTCGGGATCTATTTTATATGTTTGATAGAATAAATCTTTCCAAAGAAATTCGTCTCGCGACACTCTGTGCCATGAACTGCATACTTCTCCAGCAATTATTAATTCTCTTGGTGTTAGATATTGAAAAATATTTAAGAGAATAGAATCCGGCATATAATACCAATTCTCATTTTCTTGGAATACCTCTTCGGATGAACTTTTGTCTTCCAATTCAGGCGTATTTTCCTTGTTGTTTTCTTGATTTTCCGCGACATTCTCAATGATGTCCATATCGAAACGTCATACTTTATTTACTCGAACAACTGATATTTACTCGTAACAGTATTGTAATATAAGCGCTTCCGAGAATATACGAATTTAACCGAGATCACAAACGACGCATTCAAGCGCTGAACATTTAGCAATTATATGTATGTATATAAAATTAAATCATTTGACAATATCTAATATAGTTTAAATCTGACTTTTATATATTCTACATTTTTTCGAACTGTACTTTTAAAAGTTCATAGAACATATATATGCATAAATCATGTGCATACATATAATTTTTTAATAATAAATATATACGTATGTAAAAATTTTAGAAGTTCAATGTATTTACTAGAAATTTCTTAAAAATAATAATTAAAAATTATATGTATATCTTTACCAGGTTTTATTGTTAATAGAAATAATACATGATTGGTATTTAGTGCAGTTATTTAAATATTATTTACATTAAATTTATTAATTAAATTATAAAAATTGATTTCTTTTTTGTAACTTAAAAAGTTAGTCCAACAAAGTAAATTATATTTAAATTAAATTTGTTTAAAATTAGATTAAGGTATTTATAAATAACTGGTTTTATTTTAATTACATCGATAAACATTAATGACACAAACGTTATTTACATTTCTTTATAGACAATGGATATATTACAGTCATTGACAGAAATATCAAACAACACATTGATATTTTATTAAAAATGTTTTATTTAAAAAAAAATTATAAATATAATCTTTATGTATGTATGTATAAACCTTCTATTTTTTTTCAATATTTCACACTTTTGCTATAACATTTAGTTTACACAGTCTTTCATCTCTTAAATATAACTGTGTAATCTTATCTCCATCTTTAATGGAAATATAAGAAAAATTTCATTATGGAAGGCATACAAAAAAGTATTTTGGTAATTAATATAAAAGAATTTATCATTTATACCAAATTTACGAACATACATCCTTACTGTACATCTCACTTAATACCCACATAATGTATACACAATCGAGTCTGTAGATGAATATAGAGCAAATATACAGCTTATCTTTATTATGTTAAGAATTATTAGCTTGATGAATTAGTTGGTTTTCTACTTGCATATAAAATTGTTCCCCAAACCACTCTCTATGCATTTCTAAATAGCTATAACATTAAAGATTTAATTCTGGTAATGTTATTGGTACGAGAACAGAAAATATTTAGAAAATAAAAATATAATACCTGAGAAACATGTCCAAATACTTTAAAAGAACTTTCAATTTTTTATGTGGTATATCTGTTAATTGGAGCAAGTCCGGTAATTTAACTAAAATAAATTATATTGCTTTATTACTGCTTTAATCTTTTTATTTTAAAATACTGGATAAAGATATTTCTATAAAATTATTTGGTGAAAAGATTTTACGTACCAAATAATCGCGTTAAGTGAATGGCACCATAGTAGGTAGATGGATTTGGAGGACCTTCGGGTTTCAAGGATTCAGGCATTAATCTCCATTTGTTCGATTGTTGAAGTAAGGCATTGACTTGCACAGATGTAACAACCGGTATTCTTAATGTTACACCACGTGGGCTAGAACAACGAGAACTTGTACTTGCAATACTAAAAAAAAAGAACTCATCAATGTTGTAATTATACACGTGATACCAATATAAATGAAAATTAACTCACCTCGATAAATTTCCTGTATCTTGTTTAATTTCTTCGTATGACCTTAATTGTCTATTTTCGTCAATAGAACTCACTCTGCATGATCTTAATCTTCGTTTAGAATTTGCCAGTGTTTTCGACGTATCTATTTCTTGATCATGTTCTTGAAATGGAGGTAAATGAGCATACTCGGTATCTTCATATTCTTCTTTAACTAATACTTCAGTATTCCTTAAAATTATTATTAATTATGTTAGTAAAACTACGCTCATGGGAAATATTTTTCATAATTCTAAAATTAATCAAGGTATATCAAGCAACAAAATACGCGAAACATCCAATTTCAATTTCCAATAAATTAAAATATTAAAACTTACTCAATTGGTTCTTCTTTCACAAGAGTTGGATGTTCAGTGTATAAGAAAGAAGACTTTAAATTACAATACTGTTCTTGTTCTTGCCTATATAAAAGGAGATCGTGTAATGTAAAATCGAAATATATACGCAATCCATCAGCAACTTCTCTGCATATGTTTATTTCGTTAATAGTTTTTTCTATTGTATTATTTGCTTTGTTCCTTTGTGGTTTTTCTGGAATGTTTGTTAATTGCGTTGTTGTAAAGTGTTGAACCCATGATTCTAAAATATTTGCAACAGTAGGTTGTGCAGGAAGAACAGCTAGCTAAAATCCATGTTACCCTTTGTTACTTTCAAATTTTAGATTACACTTTCTCAATTATATTTTTATATTATGATTTTGAAAAATGGAGACAATACCTTATTTTTATTAGTTATCAAGTCGTAATCTTGATCTAAAATCCTTCGTAAAGTAGTACCTATATCAAGATCAATTCCTGGTTTTACACTGGCACCAGATTGACTACCACCACCACTGTCTTCATCATCACTTGTTTCACCAACATAATCTGAACTACTTTCTGTATCTTCTTCAGTGATAACTTCCTTTAAAGATAATTACAAATATTTTGATTAAATATTATGATATAGATAAATTTATTACAAGTTGAAATATATTATGCAAAGATTACTTCAGTATCATAATCAGCATGTTGTCCTGAACTGCCATCTTCTGATGATCCAGTTGTTGCTGATGTTGCTCGACTACCACCACTTCTTGCTCTTCGTCTTGGCTCTTGATTTTCAGATTCATTTAAACGTTCAGATAATTTATGGCTTCTTTTCTTGCGTTCTCTTCTATATAAATATGCTCCCCTATTTAATATTTTATTCATATTTGATTAAATAAAATTTTTTAAAATTATACTTCATATTAAAAATTGAAATAAATTTTTGTTATACATACAGCTGTAGTTGTGCTTTTTGTGCTAAATCTCGTTGAAGCTGACGATTTTCTTCTGTATCCTTTAATACATACTCTTCTGTCACACAACGATCCCATGAAGAATTCCATCCCTATTATTATTAGTATATTTCATTTTAAATATTAATATAAAAATAATATAACTTTTAATACAGTTATTTATTATTTACCTGGAAATGTATTAGGTATTCAACAGCTTTACGTCCTCTTTGATCTTTGTTAACTATAACATCGAGTACCTAAAAATTATTAATGTGAGAATTAATAATAAAGGACAGAAATTTTATTCAATATTTTGTTTTTTATAATATACCTTTGAATCATATAATACTTTTGCTTTTGTAGGATCAGGTTCATAACAAAGAACTTTTTCACCATCACAAAATTTAAATTTTGGTCCTCGAGTAGAAACCATTCCTTCTTACTGTATATTAAAACTAAATTACGAATCTTTTCGTAAATAAAATTACAACGCGACAATAAAATTGTATTGTTTAGATTAACATAACCTTACGCATTACATACAAATCCAAAATAATGAACGACTACATGCAATTAATTTCGTAACATTTTCATTTAAATTCATTAACAGTTACTAATTGCATAGATTCTTATACAATATGTTGCCAATATTACGTGAGCAAAAGTTTAAGTCTCTTCAAATGGAAATTGTATTGTATTAGTTTATATAAAACTAACCTTACTTGAGTTTAAACCTAAACACAAAGCACCATTTGAAATAATCTTTGATTTGTAACGCATCAATAACAGTGAAGTGACGTTAATACGTACATATATTGTGTATACACGCACACGCGTGAGCGTAAACATCACACATATTCTATGGAACTCTAAACGTATCGATATTACATCTTTTACTTTATCTTAATTAACAAGCAATTGATATACCTACAAGTTTACAGCAATGAATATGAATTTACCAAATTATTTTAATAGATTAAATTTGTATATCATTCGATAATATAAGTTAGTAATTTATTTTATTTTATTGTTTTTTGCATATGTACAGAAACGAAAAAGTTACGAAAATTAATAGCCGAACTGTTAACATTTATTAAAAATTATTTGACAAATTCTGTATTATCGACACATTCACTGTATTTACAGTAGATAAAATTAATATCTGTATAATGAGATTTATTTACCGATTAAGTTAATGCTTACCATCCTATTACATAATTATTAGTTATAAATTTTTCACCTAGGGGGAACTTCAAGTGGACGATAAAGTGGGGCAGAATCATACGGACCGTGCATACATACCAGGTTTCATAGATCCAATTGTAATAGTGTAGTTTGTTTCGAAACGTGTTCAGTGTTATTTTTTCTGTTATTTCTACATGCATTCGAGTTCAATAGAAAGGAGTTCAAGATTTTCATTTCGTAGTGTGTCAAGGACAGAGAAATTTCAGTTGGTATACACTAAATAGAGAAGACTTGAAAATAATCCAGTGTTTAGATCAGTCTGTCAAATCAGGTAGATTACACATTATGTACATAAGAACGATGTCTCGGCATTTAACGTGCGGTCTCGTGTGAAATAAGTAACCAAAAATAAAAAATCAGCACTCCAGGAGAAATCTGGATACTCAAGATGTGAAAGTGAAGTAACAAAGAGTGTTACGATAACAGTATTTTAATTATATGTTAAGAATGCTAAGTGGCTCTTTTCCCGCTATTTCGTACTAACGTATAGAGCAGCAGAAACTATGGGTCATGATTATTTTCGTCGTTATTCGTTGTTGATGAAAACACATGAAATTAACGCATGTTATTATCGTAACTAAAAAAAGTATTCCTCCTTTTTGCTTACCAATCATAACTCGGATTTACCATTGAAGAAAACTCATTACAATCGTAATCCTTAAAATATCGTCCTTTTGTGAAAACATATATCCAAGTAGTTGCTATATTTCGTTCTTCGCTACTAATTTTATTTCATTTCACACATGCCATATTTTTATCTATCATATATCTTAAATTTGAAGTTTTGACTACCATAACGCGTTACACATCAAATCCACGGCCCACATGCATAAGTATATATATGCATAATCAACGAATATAGACATGCAGATACATTTTCTAGTGCATTATTCGTACATTGTTCATGAAGTAGAAAGGTTGTCATTCGCTATTTTCAGTCGAGATGACTTCACTCCATAATATTAAGTAATTTTTGCAGTATGATACCGAGATGTAACATCCTCATAGAATGGGTTCAGTTAAAGATCAAATATAATGCGTTCCTCCGTTTTAATCTACAACACAATACGTTTACGCTTTTTGCGTCTGCAAGATAACTTGTAATCGATCCAGCAGGCTTTCTTGCTCATTTTATTTGTTTTCTCATTAATTTCTTTCATTGAATTGATAAATTGTTTATATAAAACGATATTTATTAAAAAACAAGAATATCTTTAAATAAAGAAATTGGATTACTTGTAAGAGTTTAACTATTAAATTCTATGTTCGAATTTAAATCACGTATAGGTAACAAAATTTCGTATGCAAATAATGGGAAGCTGTATTTTTTAAGTAGAATTAATAAATTTTAATTCAATAAAAGTTATATCAGAAATCGATCTGCGGTCGCTTCTGATAGGTTGAAACCAGTTTGAAACTATATTTAATCGTATTGTGGTTGATAATTAAATGTGTATAAATAAGTGTTTTTATATTTCCTTTTTGAAAGGTGAAATACAATAAATTTGTACTTAGAAATTTTTAAATGTATATATATGTACGTGAGAAAATTTTATTCCTTTAAGCTTATAATTTGATACTTAAATAAATATATTTTTGTTCTTTTACGATTTTTAGTAATATTATTGTATAATTCTTTTTCAAAATGTTCAGATATGATGGATCAAGGATTTCCGGCACAGCATACGACTACGACAACAGTAACGACGAGTACCACTACAACGCAACCAAATATTCGATTTGATCCATCTTATATAAAAACATTGCCCGGAATTCTCAAAGCTGCTCAAGTGGTAGGTTATATATCATTCACATTTATTTATAGTAGGTATTTCATTGTTTTATGTCAATATTTATTTTAATAGATCGTAAGTATTACTTATATATATCACACTGAATGTTCATTAATATAATGTTATATATGTATGTACGTATAAAGTCAGTGCCGTTAATAAATTTTAAGAATATATTCGTGCTTCTTATCTTTTCATTATCATGCTAATTCTATAAGGTATTTACTAAAAGATAAGTAAAGTTATAAATTTTATAAATATAAATATATTTTTTGGAGCAAAGTTATTTCTTATTAAAATTATTTAAAAAGCTCGATCTTTGAATTATGTCTTTGAACATTTTTTAACATCACATTAGTGACATTTTTTTAAAGATAAAATTTAATTCTTTTGAAAATGAAAATAATTAGAGGATAACAATTATATATAATAATTATAATATATATATACATATAGTAGAAGAGAATAATTATATATAAAATAAAATTAACTAATTTTATCATTTTTTGCAGTGTTTGAATCTTTTGGGATTCATATGCATTACAGTATCAATTCAAAGTACTTCAAGTCGTGGAGGATGGTTTAACACTGTGGCCATGGGCGGTTTTTGGTTCACGGGAATATTACTCGTTTTCTATTTGTTTCACATCGTCGAAAAATTTTCAAAAATTCCTTGGCTAAAAATTGTGAGTAAAAAAAAAGAAATATTAATTCTTTATGTATACATTTTTTTAGTTTTAGGTATATTAATAATATAATTTTGATAAAAACTCGTTAAACAGTTGGATTACTTTTTTGTGATTGGATTACTTTTATGCGAAGGCAGAATATCGATCGCGGTTGGCTAACTGGGACATTCTACGTTATAACACGCTATACATACGTCACGTCAACAATCGATATCTTAATTGTTTTAACATTATGATTGTTTTTATTATTTTATTTATTTTACTTTTTCTATATTATATAAAGTAATAATCATTAAGAAAGTTTTCAAAATAACATAAATTTACATTTTTGTTTGCAGGAATTTATATTTTGCACAATTTGGACTGCTTTCTATTTACTAGCTGCTTCCCTTGCAGCTGATTATATTAGATATACAGAAGCTTTTGGAGTTGCAGCAGTAAGTTTTGGAACTCAGCACTGGAAACTAGATAAATTGCTAAACGATTATCTTATTTAAATTTATGTTTGTTGTTTATCCAAGATCAGTTGGTAATTCCAGATTATTAGAGAGTGAACTTTCTAGTCTAGAAAAATATAGTATAATGTTTGTAATTGAAATAGTGATCTTGAGTGACAAATTTATCTTAAATGAACTGTAATATAAAAAATTGTTCATCTAAATAGTTTGAATCTAACACCGATTGTCTCTTTAATATCTTTATATATTTTATCGTAGTTTTTCGGATTCTGTGCTATGATAGCTTATGGTTATGATGCCTGGCTTAAATTCCATGCGGCAAGAAGCGGTGCTTTAGCGCAAGGACAGCACACACCGAAACAAGTATCTACGGTGACGAGTCCTGCGTACTAATTTCGCCTTGAAAGTGTATGGGTTTTGGATGAATCATATAAGTGGACCAGCTTCAAAACATATCCTTGTCTTTATAGAGGCGATTTGTTATGGTAAATCTAATTTGTGCTTTTGTACGTACCTAGATTTAACGCTAACGAACAATAACAGGGCACAAAAGATTCGAAAATTGCATTAATTTTGTTATCTTTTATCTGTAAAATGCATTTTCAAGTAATATTTATTGTGTAATTTCACTAAAGCACGATATTCAATAATTTCATATGTTTGTACTATAAAAAAATTATATACATATGTACGTAATATTATACTGTAACATAATGCGTATTTAATATCTTATATATATATATCTTTCATATATATATATATACACATAACAATAATAATTATAATAAGTGTACATTATGTCATGAATTTCTTAAGTCTGTTAATATTGCAATAATATTTTTACAAATAGCATATACATATACATATATCTGTATACATGTACAAGAAATATATGTTTAATCAGTATTATGTTCATGATATATACGAATCTTTGTTACACGTTTTACTCGTTTTGTATTTAATTTCGTATAGATAGCAATTTTATCTCATTCCTGGTTAAAATAACAGATGGGCGGACTATTATCTTAATTTATTTGTGATTAGTCACGAGGAGATAATAATGAAATGTATTGTATAACGAGTATTTTCGTCATCTTATGTTATGATGTGTATTATATGCAGGATTACTGCTAGAAATTAAGGATAAGAAAATTATTTGTATAATTTATTAACTTTTTCACAATATTACGCAGTGTGTTACGTATATTTTGTTCATTTTATTTAACGAACTCGATACAGGTACCTACATTTATATGTACACGATATAGATACATACTAAATAATTTTAATTACAAATTTGAAAGAACATAAAAAATATTTAAAGAAGTAAATCATTGAGTGTTATTTTTTCTAATTTTACATATTTACTAATTATGATCGAACTTACGATTTCTAATGATTAGTAATTTAATTTGTTATTCTATGTTATACGTGTTTTAATTAATAAAGCTCTACTTTTCTTTTTTCTTTTAACATTACCAAATTGTAATGTAATTCGACGTTTAAAAAAATGGAGATTTTACAAAAAGAAGGTTTTATGACGATATTTTTTATCTCTGTTGATCAATGTTTAAATGGTTGGAATGGAAACAAAAAACATTACATAACAAATATAATTAATTCCTGTGAAGGAAACGGGGTCTACGAGCTTGTTTCTTACCCATACTTGATAGATCTATAGTTTTACCATCAGGAAGTACCAATTTGTTCTCTTGATAGTCCACAAACCCGTTCTCTTCATCATCTCGTTGTTCTTCGTCGCACTTGATTCCAGTTTCATACGTGTATTCTCGACGAATACCATCTGGATCGATATAGCCGTATTTACCCCTGGTTATGCAATCAACACCGATTATTTCTTCTTTGTACGATCCATCGTCGTTCTCGAAGCCCCAAGTGATCGAACCATCCGGATTATCATTGCGATATCGCCTGATAATCTGTTGCAAGACATTAAAATATTTTTAAGTACGAATAATTTACTTAAATTGGTTGCTACAATTTCTTTCCTGGTGCAACACTGTATTTTCATTTCATTTTATGTTCACTTCGTGATCATTAAATTCAATAAAATGAACCTCTAATGAACCTTATTTAATATACCTAAACCTAGACATTTAATAAACCTAACTCTATATGTATTACAATTAAATTTAATTACTTTATAAGGCACAGTTATAGTAATTAATCACCTTATCTAATTCAGTAAACGTGTAACTATGTAAAAAAATAATATAATGTATATAATCAGAAATAAAAATTAAAGTAAATATCTGATACTACATGACAACAATGATACAAGATTATTATAAGTATCTTTCTCAGAAATTTTTTTATCTTATTAGCCAAATTTTAATCAAGTAGGGGTTGAAGATTGAAGCTCAAACAGTATTGCCACAAATTGTTTGAAACTAACCTGCGCAACGGGCTTTTTTCCACGACTGTCGTATGATTGAGATGATTTTACTGGTTTCGTAGGTGGTTTCACCTGTTGCTTAAATGATTCTTCTATCGGTTTTCTTGGTTTGTTCGGTTTGGGCGCCGGTCTATATTGAATTGGCGCTGATGCTGGCGCAGTTGGTATACCATTTCCTCTGCCAGTTGAACTTCCTGTTCCCGGAACGGGACGATATTGCACTGTTTGAGCTGTTGGGCCAATGTTGGAGGAAGTCCTCGATATAGAGCCTACTGAACCTAAATTTCCAACAGCGCGTGGTGGGTTTTCTTCACTTTCTTCTTGGCTGTCTAGTGGCTCGTCGCTTAAATCAGTATCATCGTCCTGATTATCGCGTTCTCGAGAAGGTTCGCGGTTTCGAATTTCTTCATCTGGTTCCTCGTTTACCGGTTTAACTTGTGGGGGAGGTGGCGCTGGCCCAGTAGGTAAATTCGGTCGCAGTGATTTGATTGGTGCGTATGAGCCTGGACCTGTTCCGATATTATCTTCAGGTCCTCTGGGTCTAATTAAATAAAATGCATAGATACATTATGTGGAAATTATTAGTTGGTTGATAGTTACGTTTTTAACCTTGAATGGAGAAGAATTTGAATAATTAAAGAATTAAGTAAGTATAATAATCCTTAAAGCTTTTGAGGTTATTTATTTCAAGATCCTATATCAAATTTTCATTTCTTCAATTT